ACCATTTAAACTGGAATGTCAAATTTAAAGCTATGGCAAATACAAAGCTGACTTCCACCTAGTTTGCTTTCCTGGGCTGGCATATTCAAACAGCTTGAGCGGCAGCAGATCATCAGTGACAGTATCGGCTGTGTGGAGCTATTTCATGGGACATTAGACGGCTGATTTGTAATCGTTGTTCATGTTGATTATCAAGAGGGGAGCAAAGACCCAGAAACTTCTCCATTGCAAGTTTGATTACAGTTGAAACCATAACATCCAACATGGTATGCAGAATACAGCCAAACAGCATAAAATCACTTGTGGCTTGACCAAAAAAATTATTTAAAAAAAAGTAATTAATGAGGAAACGCTTTGTTTTCCCTGAACTGTCGTTTTAATCTGTAAATTAATTGATGGATGACTTCTTTAAAAGTCAAAGAAGGAAATCCAAAGTCAGTGCAGTGCTAGGTGAACTGTTGTTAGCTGACGTAGCAGAATTGGTAGTTAGTGTTGTCCTCCAAATGAGCTGTCCAGTGAGCTGTCCAGATGCGGGTCACTCCACGTTACTCAGAGGAAGCACATGACAGCCTTCACCCTCCCTGCTTATTCGTGTGATATGGAGAGTGGAACCGGCCACATCAAAACTGGGAAGAAAAATTGGGTAAAAACACAAATGTTAGGTGTTCTGGGCTTCTTAAAGTAGGTCATTTTGGAGTCCCTCAAGTGCACAAAAATGTGCAGATTCTCAGAGAGGAAGCTTTTCAGACAGTCCATTTTTAGCCACACCTCACCACTTTCCTTCTCATTTTCATAAATCGTAGCGCCTGCACTGAGAAAATCGTACGCGCGAGTGACAAAGCACCTTTCACTCCAGCTCTGCTCCTTAAAACAGTAGACGTGAAGTGCTCTGCTGGGCCCTTATTGCCTCACTTAGCTGAAGATTGATGCCCAGCACAGAAGTCCATTGTGCCTTTTGGCAGCAGCCAATAAAGTTAACGGCGTGAGCTTTATGTGCTGCCGGCCTGCTGTGTTCCCACCGTTCGTTCTGCTGCCTCGAGCCTCTCCTGTTTTGGTGGGGGGGGGGCGTGGTATGTGTTTGAGGGAGGGGGGGTGGATTTGGTGGTATGTGCCTTGAGGTGGACTGACTGCATTCTCTGGCCACAGAAGCAGGGAAGCCATGAGCAATGGAAAGTGCAATGATTGTTGGCTGCCTCTCACTCCAGAAGCTAGGAGAGAGCGAGGGAGGGAGACGAAAAGAAAGTCACAGAAAAGAAAGAGGGAGGGAAGAGGAGATGGAGCGATACCCCCCTGTGACCATGTGACCGAGCACGCAGAATTGAAACCTCAGCAAAAAACTGCAACCTCAAATGTTTTTTGGTTCCTACTGAACAGACTTTTTGTGTTTGTGTTGTCACGAGGAATCAGTGCCATCAGTGCTAGGTGAGCTGGTGTTTATGCCAGTATTGTTGTCCCACAACAACATTAATAATGTTAATATTATATGCAGACTATAGACACTGCATATTTGCAGTATGTGACATTTGCAGGGTGCAACACGTTTGTTTGAAAGAACAGTTTAAAACACAAACAGATTAAATAAACAGTAATTTTCATTTCAGAAGATCTGCTTTATGTGTATGTAACGCTTAGTACTGTGTAAGATTCCCTTTGTTGTCATTTTAAGAGAGATCAGAGCAAAACAGCCCAATCAAAATGAGCTAGATATTCTTTAAACAGTATAGAGAACCAAGACTCAGGGTGCATTGGTTAATTATAGGGCTCAGAGTTTTATATCAAAATCATAATCACAATTTTTGAAGTTTTCTTAAATCGCAGGAGCTACGAGTTTAATTATAGCCCATTTTATCAACACAGGGTTTAAGAAGGTAAGTTTAACCTAATAACATGGAGTTTCTGAACTGTCTATAGATGAATTAGACCAGTCAGAAGCAACATCCATGTGCTGTGTACATAACAATGGAACCACAAATAACTGGAAGTCTGACACACTGTGTTCATCATTCAAGCCTCACATCTGAAAACATGAACCTTCAGCTTTATTAATGTGGGCTTACATGTCATCAAATACTGCACTAGATTTAGGAAACTTATCAATAGCACCCACCCCACCAGACTCAAAAACAATGACTGGAAATGAACACCTTGTGGTTGATAACAGCATCAATAACTGACAGTTTTGTTTTGCACTGCAAATGAGTCATTTATAAATCACGTTTTCGTCGTGTTTTATCATCCTGAACAACCTCAGATGTTCCAGATGAGTTTCTATGACGGTTTTTGATGAATGAAGGGATTTGTGTGATCCAACAAGCATAAATTATTTTCTGTGTTTTAAATAAATAGTTTTTAATTTACAATATTATGCAAGTTATTTACAATCTTTTTTTTTAGTGTCTGGACAGCAAGCAGAAAATCACAGCCTAAGCAGAAATTAAATGTAATGCTGATTTTCTAATGTTTGTTGTGTCCAGCCTTTATTTCTGTTACCTGTCTTCTTTTTGGAAGACCTGCTTTTAGTTTGCAGGGATATTTTTCCACACTTCCAAGTTCAGTCTTGGAAGTCTCACGATCCAAGTGTCCAGATTTTTGTTACATCAGACTTATCAGTACATAAAGCCTTATTTCACCTCCCAGACGTCCAGTAGTGTTATTGTGCAAAGTTTTCTCTGTAGCTTTTAATAGTTCTCATCCATTTTGGGAAACTTGTGGTTTCTACTTTTGTTTTCTTTGAATTTCCTCTTCCTTATATCTTGTATCTCCTCAGAAATATTTTCCTGACATTTTACATGCACAGAAGAGAGTTTTGCAAGGCAGCTGAGGTGTGTTTGGGTAGTTGCTTGTGTGGGTGTTAGTGTCCGTTTGAAGGGGGTGTCTCCTTTTAGAACAGCTTTTGTTGGGTGGACAGTTAAATATTGAGAGATTTGTTATATGTAGTGTTGAAGGTTTCTGTGTAATTTTCTGTTGAATATGTGTTGGAAAAATACTTAAATAGATGTACTTAATGGCTGTTTTAACTGGAAATTGAAATAAAGAATTATTGCACAGGACTTTATTCCAAGGCATATTGCTGTCGCATATAATCACGATATGATTTGTCCATATTATACACCCCTACCCACCTTTCGGCTCACTCACTTTTCGCTCTAGATAGCTCTCCCCATTTCGTTGAGCGAACTTCAAAGACAGCACTTACAGTTTCTCCCTTCTTTTGGGAACAGTTCCTTTTGGGAAAAGATGAAAGTTTGCTTATCAGCGTTTCCAAGTAAAGCAATAAAGAAATCCTCTGAAGTACAAAACCATGAGATTACATGCAGACTATGTGTATATTTTGCTGGATGCTGCGCTCGAGCTTTGAACAATCCATGTCAACACCCACCCAACCCACCACTGGCTTTTGTACCTTGTAAATGTTTTACAGTGTTTTTCAGTTCTTCTGTTGGAGGTTATTCCAAGAAAACTGGTGGAAAATGAGCTGCTCAAATATGTTGTTTTAGTCATAAAATGGATTTCACACATGCAAAGTGAAGCACATTCGGTGCTCATGCAACTTTAGAATACAATCCCTGATTCATGTCCTCAGAGTAAAACCTGGTTTAGTAATCACATCGTTAGAATTTTTGTCTGAGCCCGGATGTTCGACCTGGAGTCTGAAAAATTTGCTAGGGAATTGTGCTAAGAAGGCTTAGCCGCTTTGTAAAAACATGGTTTTGGTGGGGGGGGGCTCTGTTTCCTGGATGTGAATTAAAACCATTATTAAAACGTCTTAACCCATTTATGCTCACACTGGAATTTCACTTTCCTACTTTAGCTGTTTCTATTATTATTCTATTTTGGCTTTCATCTTGACTTTTGTGGTCTTTTTGGACCAGAAACCCAGTTGTTACTTGGTGTACAACTAACCTTTTGCTTGATTTTGGTCTGCAAAATCAGTTGCACCTTAAATCCCAAATGGCGATACCAAGAACTCTCAGAACTCTGAATATTTGAGCAAGTCATCGAGGTTTCGGGAGTAAGCCCTTTTCAGAGAGTCTATTACTTAGACTACCCCCATGTAATGTTTGAAGACCATTTACCCCTTAAAATCCAAGGCTTATTACGCACTAAGGCGTTTTATTCAGTAACTACAGGGACTTCGATGCAAACTGAATGAGCTATTCTCAGGTTATAGAAGTGTGTAATAAAACTTTGGCCCACCAGCCAGCCTTGACTATTAAAGGGTTAAAAGGTCTCTTTGGTAGAGTTTCCGTTTGTACAGAGAAGATCTCACTGTCAAGGTAGCAGGATGTCGCATTTGTGCCTTGAATAGGATGTGAGTTAATCAGTTCAGCTCATCGTTCTCATGCTGTGTAAAGCTCTCATTTCTTCTAGTTCTTGGTACAGAGAGAGGTGGTGCAAAGCTGCTTGAGAAGAAAAGCTGCTCTCAATAAAGGTGTTGGGCCTGGAGGTTATGAGCTTTGAAGACGTGGTGCCTCTGTCTGAGCCTCTCGGTTTCTCGGCCTTGGCGTGTTCTGTGAAGAAGGGAAAAAAACTGTTCTATTTTTGCAGAACTTTAGCTTCTTGGTGGTTTTAGTCCATCAAAAGTCATTGAGGAAGGGGGCAATGAGCTTTACTGCTAAGTGGAGCCACATGTACGATCGGCTCGGCTTCTGCAAATCCGTAACCTCGGGTCGATCTGCCAGAAAAAGAAAAGCTTGAGTCTGGCTGAAGCAGCCCAGACAGAAACAGAGTTGAAAGGCTATGGAAACATGAAGTAATGGAGGCATGTTGATTTGGCCTTCTCCAGGCACTCTGATATCTTATTAGACTTCTGTCTGCAGTGAGTTCAGAGCCATGTGGAGGTCTGAAGTGATGATCTAACTACGTCTTAACAGCACAGGAATGTAGAATGCTTGTCATGCGTTTATTATACATGACTTTTGGATGAATCTTATACTTTTATTAGATTCGATACGAATCTTTGGCTCATCTGTGTCATTGTCTCGTTTGTTCCTGCACAGGAGAGGATAATGAACCAGAGTGGTCTTCACGCCCGGGGGAGAGACATGTTTGGCCTGTGCTGTTTACCAGGTAAGCCCCTATAGAGCATTCTGTGGGACAGGTTTGGCCTGCCCTGTACATGTAAATAATGATATGGATGCACTGGTATGGGAATTGTGGGATGCCGATGTGCAGTTTTTTTTTCCATGTATGTGTCTGCCGACGCTGATTCCAATGCATAAACATTTGTAAAATGCAGAAATCGGGAGTACATCCACCTGGAATAGCATTATGGAGAAATAAGATTTATGTATTGGGTTACAAATGTGGTAAACTGAATAAAATGTCAATGTTTTAGCCCAATAACCCAGAGTTCTGCCTAAACGTTCTGCTCCTCCAAAGTACAATAAATACATCATTAAAATACAGTTTGAAATATCGGCACAATGGCAATTTTTTTAGCAAATATCTGCTGATACCGATATGACACTGATAGCATCGTGAATCCCTAGATAAAACAGATAGTTGGCATTAATAATTATGTCAGTTATACAAAATGTAAAGATGTTGTTTAAGCTCTGTAAATGTTCATATTATATGCAGTGTCTTTCCGATGGATTGCAGTACTCTACAAGCATGGTAGGGGGCGACATGGCTTTGTTGTTTTAGCTACACTCACATTACAAGCCTCATTGCTCAAATCCGATTTTTAGTTCAAATCCGATCTCTCCGACACGATGGTTCACACTCGTTTAGATCAGTGATTCAAATCTGTCATTAATGTGAACGAACCAGCGTCCTGAAATGACCCACATGAACATCCTACTCAGTAACGTCATGTGAATGAATCACGTGCATCATCAGCACAAACTAACGAGCAGAACGAGCTTCGCTGAGAAGATAATTAACTCTGATCAGCTCTCAGCTTCGTTATTAGAGCTAGACGAAGATGAAAAAGGTGAGATGTGTTGCTTTTCGACCGTTTACAGGCTTTAACTTACAGGCTGTTCGGCGCTGCTGCCATGGTAACGCTGAATGATGGCGCACGCGCAATGAAAAAAGCACATGAATTCCGATCTGAGCGTCACATTAGGGTCGCATGGCCACGAATCAGGTACGTGTCCGATCTAGGACCACATGTCAAAGTGGTTGAAGTCGGATTTGAAAAGATCAGATTTGTCCACAAAGCTCTGAAAACATCAGATCTGAGTCACATTAAGGCAAAAAATCGGATTTGTGCCACTTCAACCTGGTAATGTGAACGTAGCCTTTGTTGCGCTATAAAAGAAGCAAAGGCTTCTCACACACATGTAACTTTGCAGCGAAAAGAGTGGAATCAAGGAAGGTGTGATAGTTAGATTAGTCAATTCATCAAATAATACTCAAAAGTTTAATGAGGAATTCCACTGATTTTTCTAAATTCCTACACAATTAAATGGTTAAGATGTAAACAGTCACTCAGAGTGGTTTGAAGTCAAATGTGCCATTCTAGCGAAATTTCAAGCTTTATCTAGGTTCAAGACAGAATTGTTCACAGTGGTGATAGGAACCAGACATCTTAAGCCTTTAATACCCTTTAATATCTTGTTTGAGGTAAGATTTGATCTTAAAAAACATATTTTTAAAAGCCATTAATTGAGAGGTACATGCACAGCATTGTAAGTCAAAATGTAACTTTTTCATTTTGGATTTAACTCTGTATATCCTGACCCCTGGTTCCTATCACCACCCTTGTAAAGAAATCTAGCTCGGTCGGTTTGTCTGCAAACCCACATCAAACCACTCTGAAAGACTTTGTTTACAACTCAACAGTTTAATTATGCAGAATTTTAGAAAAATCAGCGAAGTTCCTCTTTAACTGAATATCTGCAAGAATCATTGGTGGCAGCCCTACATGTAAAGTGCTTTATCAAGTAAATCAGGACGTTTGAAATCGGTCATTGTTGTCTCAGCTTATGCGAGAATAAACTGCTTGATGCAGCACAGAATGCGTTAATTACAATGGTTCATGTTTAATAAATCCCACCGAATTTTAGTCAGTGTTATTTTGAATTAAGTCCTGTTTTTAGTAACGTGTTTAAACTCAAGGCAGATGAAACTCAGGGCAAATGTTCCATAGTAAAGTCTGTCTCACTTTCCCACATTACCACCATGTGCCACCCTAGTCGGGAGTACACAGAACTGCTGATTTGACACTTTGTGTGATAACGCTGCTGTTGTGGCGTTAGATTTCACTCTTCTGGTGAACGAGGCCACAGGGTTAAAGGGTAGTTAAAGCAGAGTCCCGTCAGCATGTCCCGTTCCGGCTAGCTCAGACCGTCGCAGTGCAGGTTTTTGAAGGGGAGTAGCATGAGAACAATCAGTCAGTGTGTTTAGCAGGGCCCAGACCCTCCCCCCTCCCTCTCCCCCTCCCCCTCCACCCGTAATCTCAGTGTCAGCACCTCGCCAGAGCGGGAGCTTTACAGAGCGGTGCTGGCAGGCCGCAGACGCGACCCTGCCAAGCTAATCTTTAACGTTTGATATCAGCAGTTATTCTCAGCACCTCTGCAGGAGGCGGTGTGAGTTTCCCACTGCTGTTCACTTTCAGGTGTGAGTCCCTCCTCAATCCCCTCCCCACCCGCACACACAAACAAACTCCTGCGGTCTACAACTCAACACTCTGTCCGTGCCTCCCACCGGTCAGTCTTAACCAGCGGAGTGCATTTAATGTTAGAGATGGACATTTCAAGCAGAACTGTTGTACAAATTTTCCAGCCATTATTCAAAAACTATTCAGTTTTGTAGTCAAGACTGCGATCTGGACACATCATGTCAGAGTCAAAACCAAGACTTTGTAGTAGACAAGAAAGAGAACAAAGATTGCATTATAACATCTGGAAGTAAATGATGGTGAGGTCGTTCTCTGACCCTTCTTGTTTAAAACTCTGTGACGACCGAAATTCAACAGAACATAAACCAAACAACATACATCGATGTTTAGTAATAAATAAAAGCATAATAATAACAATAATAATAATAATAATAATGATAATAACATTTCAATCTGCTCTGAGGAAATGTTTGAATGTTTGAACCAATGAATATCCACAAACAAATAATACCCAGTTAATTCATCAAAGAAAGAATCCCTTAGGTCAGGGGTCGGCAACATGCGGCTCTTTTACTGCCCTGTTGTGGCTCCACAGCTGAATTAGGTTTATAGGTAAAAATAAAATAATCCTCCTTTACAGTAAAATAAAGCTCTGCTGATCGTTCAACACAGTTTAAACAATAAATGGTCTTAAATGCTGGAGTTAATGTAGAACTGCTAATTCACTGACCTTCAACCCTGAAGATCACGCAGGCACCATAGCAATGCAGGCAACAGTCTCGCCTAGCTAGTAGCTAACGAAAAGGCAAAGAGAGAGATTTAAGATGAACATTGATAATTTTGAGACAAATGGACTTATTTGCATTAACAATCACTCCAGCTGGTTTCCTGATACGTTTAATCTGCTATGAGAAACTGTCAAACACTAAAAATTTGCGAAGCTTCTTATTCGCCAGCTTCTTATTCAGATTTTCCCATTCCACCTTAAATGGTACAGCAGTTACATTCTGGCGCCTCAGGCACCATTTAAGGTGGAACAGGAAAATTCGAACAAGAAGCTGGAGAATGAGAAGCGACTTTAGCCTTGTAAGAAGTTGAACGTTGAGAGACATTTTAAAAGAAACTGTTCTACTTTTGAGTAGAAGTTTCCTGTCAGAGATGCGCAAAAAGTGTCTATACCTGAGCTAAAGCTTAAAGCAGAGCAAAGTAAGTCTGCATTTGTTTAGCCTATAGTAGTACATCAGCACATACTGAGACATATTTACAGCTAAGATGGTAAAACATTACTTCAAGAAAATGGACATAAAATGTTGTGGCTCCTAAGGTGGTTTGATTTTTGTTGAGAGGACAAAATGGCTCTTCTTAATGTTACATGTAACAATAATAACTCATGCCTGATTACACCTGTGACAGCATTTTTCATATAGCATATTGCCTTTTTTGTTTATGCTGGTGACATTTTATTAGCACAGACTTAACAGTAATATTCCCTCAGGGCCCAGGACTGGATTAAAAAAAATGAAGGGAAGTCTTGTTTAAATCTGTCTCCATAGGAAATATGTCACCTGCATGCTGCTGTTGGCAACAATAAACTGTAATAATGATATATTACATATTTCTTTACATTATTATGTGATAAAATCACTGTGTAAAAGATGCAAACGGCTTTCTTTACTGATGTAATTTATTCCAGTAATGATACTGCACTGTATGCCCATCTAATTAGTGAGTTTAGCAGCTTTAAGGTGCACCCATTGCTGAAACAGGTGTTCAACTGCCCACAAACAGCTGTGTAATTTCCATAGAAAAGCACTGCCAATAAAATGGGATGCTCTAGAGCAACTAGACCTGGTTATAAACCCCCAGTAGGGCTAATCGATTTGGGGAAAATGTCTAATTGCGATTGTTTCAACTAATATTGTGGCTGCGGTTTTATCTGAATTGAGATTCAGACCTGATTTTGCCCAAGATGACCACCTTTTTTGGCTTGAGGCTGACCACTGAATGCAGTGTGCCAAACTACCAATAAGTTGTGGTTGTGATGTCACAACACATGGAGGTTTGGTTGCCTCTGATTGGTCTAACCTATCCTCAGCCATTTCAGAGGTTCTTATAGGTTCAATGTTCCCATCTTCAAACATTGTTGCTAATGTACACACTTAAAAAGATGGTTCTCCAAGGGTTCTCTAGCAAAGGCAATGGTTTTATATGGAACCAAAAACACTTGCTTGGTGAAGTTCTTTAGATTGATGGAGAATGTGTTGTGTATGGTTCTTTTTAAGGTTCTATATAGCTCCAAAATTTTCTTCTATTATTACAAGCTTGACATTGGAACAACAGCATAACCCTGGTGCTATATAGAACCATAAGCAACACGTCCTCCATCAATCTGAAGAACGATTTCACCATGCACAGAACAATTTAAGCATGCAAATGGTTCTTGGAGTGTTCATGGTTCTATATAGAACCACTGTCATTACTAAAGAACCATCTTTTTTTA